CAGTGATGGTAGGATTTGCAGTGCTGTGTGCACTACTGACTGTATCTGAGCTTCATTTTTACACAGGACAGAACATGCAGAGTTAGCACGCAGCATTTCCGGTGACATCCAATAAACTACCAGACCCGCACAAACTCTACTGTATATTAGGGACTACTGCAAAAGCAAGCCAGGAATTAAATTAGTTATCAGGAGGACTACACCAGGTCTTCCCAGCATGAAGGTCAGCCATAAATTCTAGGCTATTGCAGCCATGTCTCACACAGAGACAAGGCTTTTTACCTTCAGCAAGCTTCACTTCAGAAAATTCTAAACTGGTGTGTGTGCTTGATAGCACAGCTTTAATAACATTAACAGCACTAGAAGAAGTAGGAATAAAATTCTAAATATAAGACACAAAGCTAAATGGAGCCAGATTTTAAACTACTGAGGCCCAAGAAGGCAGCATAAGCATTTATCACTCCTCATTCTCATCAGGATGATCAGCTTCAAATGATGCCAGCAGGCAGTGGGTACCTACAACAGCTTTAGGAACAGGGCCTCTTGCATTTCTGAAGACATCATTCTGAGCAGCACTTCATGGTATTGGCTTTGCTATTGTAGATTGGGAGCTTCAGACTTAATTGGGGAAGCAATAACCCTAAACATAGTGAGGCTGTCTGATCTTTCCCCTGATTGCAGTGTGGGCACATGCAGGACATTTCTGCTCTGCATTCCATTACCTGCATCCCAGTGTGAAGAGAAAAGCCCTCATTCTGCTCCCAGTGAAGGACATGCAGTCCTGGGAGCCGAAGGGAGTTTTGGGGTGCACCAAGAGGACAAGAAGACCCAGTGGGGACTGTGAGGGGAGGGAAGGTGTGATGGAAATAGAAGGCCCTAATTTCTTCACTGTCCTTTGCAGGCGGTATTGGTGCCAGGTGTGTGTATACCACTCTGCAGGTGGCCTTTTCATGGGCGCCCTGGTCCTGATTGAAAGGTTGTTGTGGGCATGACGGTGGCTGGAGGAGACTGTTCTGGTGGCAGAGTAATGAGTGTCATTGAAGGACCTTATTCTCCCTCCCCCTTCCTTCCCCTTCTTTCCTTCCCTTTCTTTTCGGTGTCCGGGGCTCCTGGCAGCAGCCCAGGAAGGCGTGGGGCTGTCTTGATCTCTGCGGGACCAGGGACCGCCCTCCATCCATCCATCCATCCATCCATCCATCCATCCATCCATCCATCCATCCATCCCCCACCCACCGGTGTCGCGGCTGCATCCCGGCGGTCCCGCGGCAGCGCGGAGCGCTGCAGGGGTCTCCTTCTGCCGCCCCGAGCGCTGCTGGCAGCTTCTCGTCCCTGGGTGGGGAGGACACCCCTCCCGTCTGTGGGCACCTCGTGCAAATGCCAGCACCCCGGACCGACCCGCAGCCGCCCCCCTCGCCCCGCCTCTCCCGGCGCTGCTCCCCGGGGCTCCCCTCCGCGGGGTGCGCGGCTCCCCAGCCCCAGCAACGGGGGAAAATAGAAAATAATATACTTGCCCGTACGGGCTTTTATTCCCCTCCTCCCGCTTTTTAATCTTTAAAGTAGTTGTCATAAACCAGCCCTGCCTCGGGGCTTTGCCATAGTCTGAATTTGAGGGAGGTGAAAAGTGGCAGAAGAGGGTTGGAGGGACGGGATGAATGAAGTGCGGTCAAAGTTGGTCGCCCCACCCCACCCCCCGGCCTCCTTTCCCCCTCCAATTCGTAATCAGAAATTACTGCCCGAGGAGCAGATACTTCGTTTTATTGGCTCGTAAAAAAAAAGTTTTCAAAGACTAATTTCCACCAGATACATTGATTTTCCGTTGAAAACAGAATTAAAACAATACGCGCGAGTAGGTGCCATTAAAGCTAAGCCATCTTTGGCGTTAATCACGGGAGAGAAGGATTACGAAAGTCAGCAAAAGAGCACTTGGGTTTGAAACGCAAAAATCCAGAGTTTAGGAAGACTAAGCTCAGAGCAGGGGGACTGAAGCAGCTCAAGAAACAAGGAGAAACACTTAATAAGAGTTAAAATTCAGTGTCAGGTTACTTCTCGATATGGCAAGGAATACGCCGTTCCTAGAAGGGATTTGTGATAGTGAAATATATCCCTTGCTAAAATACCGTTTGATGCTTGTGTCGAAGAGGAAACAAAAAAAGTATTTTTCTTTCAAGCCCCGATTTCGAACCAAACCAAACCAAATCCAAACCCAACTAACTAAAAAAACCCCAAAAACCAAAGAACGACAACAACAAAAAAAACCCACCAAAAAAACAAACCAAAAGCCACCCCAAAAATCCCTCTAAATTTCCATCCGCGGCTGTGAACAGTTTTCCTAGCGATATTTGTTTCAAACCTTACAGACACAGTGCCCCTGTGTTCCCGAGGTCTCTCTGCCTTCCCTTCCCCCTTTTCTACTGCTTGGATGGTCGGTTCAGAAGCAAATGCCTTGCTAAATAATTGCTAGAATTTGAAAAAAAAAAAAAAAAAAAAAAAAAAAAAAAAAAAAAAAAAAAAAAAAAAAAAAAAAAAAAAAAAAAAAAAAAAAAAAAAGAGAGAAGGGGAAAAAAAAAAAAAGCCGGGAAAATGCGCACCAGCATTCAGGTGCTAACCTACTTATTTGAAAGTAATTTATTTTCCATTTTGCCCGTTTTCCCCCTTTAAAACAGAACGCTGAAAGAAAGAATAAGTGCTTTAACATTTCAGTGTTGTGCTCTGGTAATTACTTTTTCACTTTTCCCCTAAGTTCCAATGTGAAAACCTCACAGGGGGGTCTTTGCTGTAGCAGGGCTACAGTTCCCAATCCCAAGCGCAAGATCTGCAATTACAAACCCATTCGGTGCCCTTCTCTATCATTAATATGCACAAAATCCTGCTGCTAATCTTATAATCTGTTTTGTTTCATCAATTGCTTGCCTAGCACCAGGCGGGAAAGAAAAAGAGAGAAAGAAAAAGAAAGAAAGAGGAGAAGAATAAAGCCGGAAAATCACGGAAAGCTTCGGAAAGTAAACGGAAAAGCCAAATAAATCGGATTTTATTTTTGATAAAGCAAAAATCGTTAAGGCTGTTAAATGGAAGTAGGATTTTCCGATAGAGGGGTGGCTGTCAGGGAAATTTAAGGAAAAATCTGAGTATATCCAGCATTTTATTTGCATATTCGATTTGTCCGCGTACAGGTCATGAAGTTCCTTAAGCACTCAGCGGTGGAGGCGGGAGGGTGCGCCTAAACACCTCAGGAGAGTATATTAGTATTCCTTCGGTTTGACGAGGGAGAGGAGGCGGCGATCTCAGGATGGGGTGTGTGGGTACGGGGGCTCCTTTGCTGCCCCCCGCCCTGGCCTGCGCGGCCGCGCAGCTCCCGCGGGCTTGTCACGCCTTGTCATTAAGACTTCAGTAAAACAATGAAGACATTATTTTGTGAAATCCTCCTTCCTCAACAACCCGCCCCCCTCCCCCCCCATCTTCCGGCGCGGTATTAAGGGAATAAAACCATCTACACCACACGCGTCCTATTGAGATTAATGAAAAAATTATGCCAGAAAAGCAGGAAAAAAAAATTAACCACAACAAACCACCGACTAAAAAACCCCAACCCCAAAACAACCATTATCTCGTATATCTTATCCCTCGTCCCCCGCGCCGGGCCTCGCCGCCTCCTTGCCGTGCACCTGATGATTTATTAACGCAATCTGCGGGGATAACGACACGCGTGCCCGGCTCCGGCTCGTCCCAGCTCATCTCCTAAGTAATTGTTTCTCATTAGTTCTGATAATGTTTTAATAGTGCTGCCCATAATTTAGTCAGCCTGGAATTAATAACGGAGGGTGTCCTGAAACGCACGGGGATGGGGGGGGGGGAGCTGCAATATAAGCAGGTAGTCTTTAATTAATCAGATTAGCCCGGAGGTCCCCGCGCTGTAAGGGATCCGCCTGCGCAGCGCCCTCGGACAGGACTCGGGTGGAGGGAGGGAGAGGGGGGTCGGTCCACGCTGCTCATCCCCAAACTCCGCAAAGGGGTTGCGGCGGGGGGGGCTCTGCCGCCCGGGGGCTCCCGGAGGAGCGGGGAGGCGGGAGGCCCTCCCGCTCCGTGGTCCCATCCCGGGGGGGCCGCCCTCCGCTCCGCTCCCGGGCCGGTCCCCGCCCGGTCCCCGCCGTTCTCCGGGGGGGCCGCGGAGAGGCGCTCCCGCAGCCCCCGCGCTCCCTTCCCTCGCTGCTTCCACGCGGGCCGGTCGGTGGGATTCTTCCTTCTCCCCTTTCCTCTCCCTTAATTAAACCAAAAATAACCCTAAATGATTGAAATCGCTGCTCGGAGACGGAGGGGAAACACACTAAGCGAGGAGACGGGAGGAGTAAGGCACCGTGACTCCATACATGAGGCCATGGAGGTAGGGAGAAGTGAAACTAAAAAACAACTGTTTTCTATTTACAATTTTAAAGAAACAGAACAGCCTTCCCCGCAGTGTTTGTCTAAGTGCAGCAGCATTGCTGCTGTGTAGGTCATGAAAAGGTTGGTGCATAGTTTAAAACTTCCCATTCTGTTAATTTCTTAAAGAACAGTCGTTCATAGTCTGAGCACAAAAGCTCATGATTTAATGAGGAACAGAAACAAAATCTCTGATTGTTGGTGTTTCAAACTTCATTGGAGTCCTCTGGCAACCACAAGTTGATCCTCTGCAGCTTCAATACCCTTTAGCCCTCCATATAAGAGTACATGTTGAATAGAGGACAATGCCTGGTTGTTATGTTTATTTACCCTTACTACAAGCTGGGTTAACCTCTTCAAAACAGCTTTACTAAGCCCGTTAACCACACAGCCCACATGATCTGTAGCCGTATCCCTAATGTGATGTAAATCTGACTCGAGACCATATGCACGAGTTCTGCTGCATTGTGTCTCCGAAAACTACAAGTTTATTGCCGTCCAACCCTTCCCGGGCTGGATGCTTCCAGGAGGAAACTCTCTGAATAGCGACCACTTATAAAAAGAGAAAAAAGTCAAGAGTCCTGCATTGTTGGAGCAATATTTTTAATGGCTGTTGCACACTTACAGAAGGGCTGTGTATGGGGGATGCAAAGCTCACACGGGGTAAAGATTTTCATTGCAATTATTTCAACTGGTGCATAATCATTTGAGGTTTTGTCCTTTCTGCCAGGAGTTCTGCATCAGAATGGGAAGAAGCGCAGATAGAAATAGAAGCAATTGAATCAGTTTTCGTCTGCTCTTTCAACAGAGCTCAGAGTTTATGTTTCACCTTTGTCCTTCAGTGAAGTCATACTCCTACATTTGTAGTAATTATAGTGATGTCACACAGTTGGTGATGTAACTTTTTCACAGGCTATGAGTAGAACATGGGTCATGCAGGAGTGAGCAGTGGTTTGAGTCAGGAATAATTTTAGTAATTAGCTATTCTGGCAAGTAAACTATGACAGATCTGCAAAATGGAAATGAATTTCTGCTTAAGCTTGACGTCTTTAATTTCCCCCCCACACCCTCGAAGTATTATAGTCATCTTTACAAACAGCTACTGGGGCCCCATGGCGAGAGCTTCATTTACCAGCTCATTTTTTCTTGATGGCTGTGGCAAGCGTAACAATGTTCTGTGCCTGCTTCAGTAATGGCATGTCGATCATGCTCCCGTGGAAAGTAAACGCTCCCTGGAAAAGAGAGAATATAAACTTCCTGAGAGACCTCTGGAAATTGTAGTTGGCTTGTCTTGTTCTTTAAAGACACATCTGTTTGCCAAGAAACACCAGCTCCCCGCAGTAATCCTGAACAAGTTTTAGGAGACAAACTAACCGAGACGGGCGAGTGCATTTAAAGAAATGCAGAGGGCAAGAAGTGCTCCAAAGAGGAGGTAAAAAGAGAGAGAAAAGAGAAGCCCAGTGTGCAGCCGGCCTGTTTCAGCCTCTCTAGCTGGCAGACATTGAGGGCCAAGAGCAGCAAGGCTGTGAATGCCAGCTGGGGAGAAGGGCTGGCAGACGCAGCACCTGAGGGGCAGCCCTGCTCCCCACCTCCAGCATTGATCCAGGGCTGTGCCACAGGGTCAGCATGAAGCTGCCTACAGACAGAGGGCAAAGCCAGGAAAATTATCTTTGTCAGGAAAGAGCAATGGGTGTTTGTGGGGGTGGAGGGAAGTTTTCTTTACTTGGGGGTTTGCTGAGGTTGTGCTGCTGCTTCACCTCTCCATTAGGTCTCTGTTGCTAAAGATAGGCTGGGCCTGTGCTGGGAGCCAGGGACTGGGATAAAAGCTGAAAAAAACAAGTGGATGGCACAATAGTATTGCCCAAATCTGCTTTGGAGCCAAGGTAAAGCTCACTTGAGCACCACATATAGGGAATTTCCCCAAATGGATGCAGACTTCTCTGTGTCTCAGCAGTGGTGATCTGAGAGCCAGGAAAGGTTTCAAAAGTCACCTTCTATTCCTGAGGATTTTTTGTTGGTACCATGGTGATAAGTTTAAAACAATTAACTGTGAATCATAGTTAATTTTTAAACAGAAGACACATGTTTTCAATAGGGCCAAAACTGACTTATTCCTTTGGATACTTTAATCTACACATGTGTTGCTGAGGTAGGATTTGGAAGACAAAACACTGCATTAAGACACGATGAAGTTCAATAGACAAAAATCCCCAACTTATTTGCAATCCTAACAGTACTTTGACACATTTAAATAACCCCCCAAGAAACAACAAACCCCCAAAACCCAAATACACAGTCCCTTCCCTGAAGAATTCAGAACTGAGGGCCTGGCCCCAGCATTGCATAGGGTGTCTTTGTGAAGCACTGTGCACACGTTTAATGCCCTGCTGCAATCGATACAGGATCACAGGCTGGCCCTAGATTTGACAGTGAGCGAGGCTGACCAAGGTCAGGGTAAGGATGATATCAGCATGAGTGCCTGTGCACGCGTAGTGAGAGAAGTGCAGAGGAGAACAAGCCATTTATTGTTTTCTGGTTTTCATTTGAGATTTGATAATCATTAAATAGAGGGCTCTAGTAAGTAAGGTGAAAATATAACCCTTTCACAAAAATATTTAGGAAACGTCTTGCTCCAGTGGCATATCTAGTTCGACTGAAGTATTAATTGAATACTAAATCACGTTCTGGAATAGTTGAGATGAAAATCCACGTTAAACAGTAATCTAATACAAATCAATATTGTTGCATGTAAGAACAGGCTGTATTAAAGCCATTGAAAACCTAAGGGTAAAAACTATTTTATTCAAAGTAGATTTTCCTACTATAGTGTGCAGTACTTTAGGTAGGTTTGGAGAAAAACGGGAATGACAGAAATGCTCAAAGGTTGATGCTTCAAATTGAATTTTTTTGTTTACAGAGCAAACAATTAATCCTACCTTATCCCAACAACACCAACATTAATACTATTATTTCTATTAATATGACATAATTAAATTAATAATTTATTTTAGCTATATATCAGTAATTTTCACTTTTACTTTTAAACCTTTACAGAAAATGCAGCCTCAAACTATTCAATTTATTAGCTATTGTGAAAATAAATTAGGAACTAAGTAAACATTTTATGACATAGGACTTATTCAGGATAATCAGGTCTCTACAGTGATCCCAAATTGCAAGATACACTTTTTTAACGGGAAGAAAAACTTATTTTAATTGTGTCTTTTTTCTATAGGCAATCTGTAATTCTTATTCAGTAACAGCTAATTCAGTAGCAAAGTAAAGAGTAAAGCTAATTCAGTAACAGCTTTTGCTTACAGGAGAAATTTGCATGTGGATGACAGTGATAGGTAGAAATATGTTGAGGTCTGGCATTTTGCTTCTCAGTTTCATGAAAGGAGCTCAGTTATCCTAAGTACCAGCAATAGTTTTTAGAAAGAGATGGGTGCCTAGAAATATCAACTCTGATCTCTGGTAGTCCAAATCATGATTGGGAGGGTCTTATCCCTTCCACTGACTGGATACAGGATGATCTGAAGTCAGGTACCTCTGCAAGGTGCCTAAACTGTAGCACAATAAATCTGGGTCAGAATGTCTTTTTTACAAAGCAAGAGTTAATTAACCAACATGCTTGTCCTCTCTTCATTGTAATAACATGTTTAGAAAGGAAACCAGGATAAGTGTGTATGTGGACACATGAACACTGAACCACTTGAGAACTGCTCTATGTTCCCTGCTTGTCAGTGTGCAACTGTACTTTGGGTTGCTAGGATTTGAATTCTTGAAGGAAAAAATGCCCTCCCCTTTTTTTTTCCTTTTCTAACAGTAAAGGGTAACATGAAGTTGGCTTCTCTGCCTGTTCACTCTGAGGCTTATTTTCTCCCTGCTAATTTGCAGTGTTGAGCTAAAGTCCAGAAAAAGAAACTGATTTTAATGCTATTGAATATACTCTATTCACTGACTCTCTTTCCACCCACAGGTTTCAACAGATAGGAAATACCAGTAATTACAGCTTTGTCCCCATGCTCTCTTTTCCAATTCTGCTAGATGAAATTTGCCTTTAGCATTCTTTTGATTTTCTCTTGCATGAATATAAAGAAAACAAGACTTCCTATAAACACCATTTGCTTTGATAGCGTTAATCTGGAGATTAATTTAGTCATAGATCTAAATTGTCTTTTTTGGCTAATTTTCTCAGCACCTCAGACTTCCAGCCTGTACTTAGATTTCTGGTAGTTCAACTATGGGACCAAGGGTCTGTTCTTAAGGACATGCTTGCAGCATGAACAGGAACAATGGCAGGTGGGTAGTGCGAGGCTGGGGTTTGCATCCATCGCGTTCGGTGGCTGTAGCTCTTGCTTGTCATGCCACCATAAAAATCATTCTGTGGGAGCCTGTTCAGGAACCTGTGGAGGAACCCTCCAATCAGGCTAATCAAATGTGTCAGACCAGCCCTGGGAAGAGACAGACCCTCCAGGTAAAGGCTGATGGAGAAGCTGGGAGAAGGAGTGGCTAGGAGGCAGCATCGAAGATGGTGGACGCAGCCTCTGGGTAATGGTGCATGGGTGCAGGTAGCTCGAGTTGGAAGAGAAGTGAGGGAATGGAGGACAGAAGTGAGGGAATGGAGGACAACTGCAGCACTCACCAGACAGCATATGAAAGTGCTACCCTTCTGAGAAGGGGTGGCTTTGTGGGTCAAAGACTCTGCCCTATTTTAAGTGATGCAGCGTGTATTCTGCTGTACCTATCCAGTGCCATCCTTCATGCAGCCATACAGTGAATGTGCTGAAGGCAAAGCCCTGTGAGAAACTGGTGACTTTGGCACTCATCAGTCTGTAGTGTATGGGAGCTGTGAGGGTGCTTTGGCGGGTCGACGTTGTACAGCTGTGAAATCAGTACAACACAGCAGAGGGGTTTGTATTTGCACAATCTCTGTGCTCCTTCAGCCTGATCACTCTATGCCTCTGTCAGGGCAGACTGTCAGGGAGGAATCAAGGAAGAAAGTGAATGGGCACCATTTCCATTTGGGTCATTGTGCTGACTAGCTAAGAGTCCTTCCAACTGACTGACGAGCAAGGAAAGACTCAAGGTATTTCCTTCTGGATAGCTCTGTAAGGGCAGAGGAAGAGAAAGGCAGCAGACTCATCTAGCTCCTCTTCTCTCTGCCTACTGCAGCTGCCAACAGAGCCCACCAAGTCATCTGCTCCCCACCTCTGCCTCTTCTATCAGACCACATTCTCCAGGCTGGATGATACAGGACCAGTACTGTGAAATTTGCTGCTCCCCCCAGGAACCATTTAGTATTATTCACAAAGACTTTTAATGCTCTGTTAAAGCAGTAGTAACATTTTTAAAAAGTAATAGCAATTTATGCAAGATGCAGGCAATGCTGAGTAAGGTCTTAACAGCTCTATTTTGAATTTCGGTATGCCCTAAAACACTTTGAGAATGGAACAGAGAAGACTTGGCAAATACAGAAAGCAGTTGTAAGGAAATTAAAATTATAGAAAGCTTTTTTTTTTTTTTCCTCCCTTCCCCAGAAGGTAATGGCAAAAAATTATAGTCTTGATAAAAATAGAATTGAGAATGATCAGCCCCAAGTGATAAAAAGATCCAGTCTACAGACAAGAGAAGCGGTAAGGTGGAGTTGACAGAGAACAGTCATTTTCACAGGTCAGGAGATGAAGATATAGGCTCATGAAAAAGGGAGGTAAATCCAACTGTGCAGTAGGAATAACTTAATGCAAAAAATTTCCAGATAGCTGTGGAGAGACTGAAGAGGTGCAGAAGCAAACTTTGTAACACATCAGTTTGGCAGACTTTATGCTTGTATCCTATGAGGTTCCTTTTGGATTAATGAAGCCACTACCAAACCCAGCTCAGATCTAGTGAAGTTCAGCACATAATTGAGGGGTCATCTTTGATACCTCAGAAGACAATGCTAGTCATGGAACTTGGACATGTCTCTTGTAATCTCTCTATGTCATCCTTAAAGATTTCCTTTATCTCTAAGAAATGACACTTATCAAGTCACAGAGTCTCAGTGTTGGTCTGTTATTTGCCTTGGTCAAAAGATGAACACATTAATGCAGTGTTTCCTGGAAATGAAGACCTCCTCTTTTTGTGTGTGTCTATGTGTGGCAGCATCCAGGAACATTTGCTTTGTGAAACTTTTCAGAGTAGTTAAGAGCTTGGTAAATCTGTAAGACCATCTCATAAACAGAGCATAATG